CTAAACAGATAAAAAATACGCCCATTGACTCATGTCATACACACACATACACTAAATTACATTCTAACCCTATTGAATTATTATAAAATATATTTGCAGAATCACTCATACATACAAATACTGTACATATAGTTATATCGTTTGTTTATACTATAGAGTGAAATCTTCTCAGTACATCACAAATACAGATTGACAAATTCTTTTAATAACTAGGAAATTCCCTGTTTCATGAAAAAAATTCTGGGGTTTCTCAAATCTCTTCTAGACTTTTTTCCCCCAGTGTTGTATTTTTAATGGCTTAAGTTGTAGCTGAAACAACAGCAGTGCCACAGGCTGATTTCACATAATTTATGTTTGTTCTTTTTCAGTTTTGCAAGTTTATAAGTTTGTTTTGCCCTATATTCATTTTAATCTATATTCAAAGAAATATGAATAATCATTCATATTGAAGTCCATACTGAAAGGTGTAATTTCATATAATATGAATTTAAAATACTATTTATTATGCATTCTAAGCATATTTTAACCTAAAATACATAAATGAATTTTGGTACTGTTGTGAGCCAAAATATGTGTCGCATAATTTAGGGTACTGAAAATCTGAAAAACAAGTATTTCAATCTGCATGTTAGTTTGGGAGATGCAGACAGGAGCATGTTATAGCAGAATTAGCAAAGAGTGCTAATTCAAGCATTCCTAGCTGTAAGTACCCTTTTTGCTAAGCATAGCCAATGTATAGGTTTTACTTGGGGAAAGATGTGCAATGCAGCTGTTGTAGGATAACAAAGAAAAGTGCACATCTTCCAAGAAAGGTTTCCAAAAGGCATTGCTCCAGATGCAGATCTGAATGGAGTATTAAAGGCTTCATTAGCATGCCTTGCAGATCCAACAATGGAACTATAGCACAGTCAAGGATATGTGTGTGTTGGGGTGGGGGGGGTGGGGCAGATATACTTCCAGTTACTAAAAATAGAGATTACAGCACTCAGAAAATTTTCGCAGTGGATGTATTTACAGGAGGAAAATGATCAAGATTGCATGCCATAACAGCTAGAAATTATAGTCCAATACAGGACAACAGGGTGGGGAAGGCTGGTATATAAAAAATGTAAACATGTAGAAAATTTTCTTAAAAGTTAACTGAGTAATTTCAGAAATTAACCTATTATTTCTATGGAACAATAGACAATGTTAATATTATAAACAACTTTCTAATGCTGGAAAATCCTTATCTGTTGCATGCGTGTCCCATTTTCTATCACGGAGATCCTAGGCATTCTCACATCCAGATCTTGACTTTCAATCCATTTTTTGGAAACTTGATGCTATGGACAACTCTGTTTTGTTCATTTGTTTGCTTATTCCCAATCTCATCAAAATCTTCTTTCTACTAGATCACTTGGTAGCAAACTGTCATTAGTGTACAATAATTTCTTGTCATCAGTTTTTATAATTTTCTGTGTTTTTGATCTGCAGTGTTTCAAAGTTCCTACAACTGTCCTGATAAATTCTAGTTTTAGATTTCATGGTGAGGGTTCTGAAAGATATAGTTATTTTAGAACTATCTTTATATGTTTTGTTCATGTTTTTTTACTGGTACCATTGGAAGTGGATTGGAATCAGTGGGAAATCAGAGAGATGTATACAAACTGGAACCATGAAGCAGATGGAAAGCTGCATTTCTTATCTTGTTTTGTTTTCATATTTTTATACTCTATGAATTGTATAGTTCTGCACTGATATGGCAAAAATAAGAAGTGCTATGGCCAGATTTCCATATAAGATTCAGTGAATAACTGAATTTGAGATGAGAGAAATAAACTATGATGAACTGAAGGCTAATGTGGACTTATTTGTTTCTGGACATTCTTTCTACTATTTCAGGACCAGATATTCATAAATATTCCCTTTTTATACTCTTCCTCAAAGCACTGCTTTTAGCTTACTCAGATTTACTGTAGTTTTTGTGATCTTCCTACAGCAATATTTCTTAAAATATATTAGATGGAACACCAGTGCTTCCTGAATAACTGGAAGGTGTTCCATAACTAGTCCCCCAAATCCAAGAGAAGTATTTTATGAAGTTTGGATCCATTCAGTTTCACTAGTCATAAAAGTTCTCTGTTCATGAATAAAGAAGAAAAGTTGACAGATTTCTTCTCAAGCATCACACTGAAACTATTTGAAAAAAAAAAAGACTAATGACTTAAGTTACATAGAATATAAGCTTTAAGTTAAAAGGCTCTGACAACCATTTTCCTTCAATATATTTTTTGAAAGATCATTTTCAGTACTTCAAATATGTCCAAAACCAAATATTGAAATAGGCTGAAGGTTACACTGATTTTAAGATTTTGTTTTTTAAAAACTCACTCTATCACTTGATCTAATATGCTGTGATGTATAAGCTCATATATCTCATTAAGATTTGTAATTGATGTATGAAATGTAATTGATTTTTAAAAAGAAATATTAAAACATGTTTATTCCCCTTTTTAAAAAGAAAAAATGTCAAAAATGTAGTTTATTTACAAATGCTTTCCTATAGCCTTTAAAAGTTTTCAAGTACAGTCTTCCATTGTAGTGAAATTTATTTCTGAAAAATGCTTTAATGCATGCACACGTGCACACCCATGCACATACACACGTGTGCACACAGACACTCATCTACATTCACTGATCACGTATATCTGACTTTTCTACCCTTGCCTTCTGCTTCTCTGATGATTAAATGCTTCCCAATCAAATTGGAACTGCATAGCAAAGTCGCAGATGGACTTTACAGGGTGTTCCTATCTAATGCATCCGTCAGTTTTCATGACAAAGTAATTAATGCCAAGCAAGGCTCATATTATACAAACCGAAGTGTTACTATTTGCAACAATTTCTGGAGATTTGTCAGAGACTAATTTGCCCAGTTAGTACAGGCTATATGCTATCATATGATATCTGATTTTGGAATCAGGTTAAAATCTAGTATCATGTAGCCCATACAGAAATTTTTCTTTTCTTCTTCCCTCCACCCACCATTCCAGTTTGTGCAGAGCAAGCCAGCATACAGGCACACAAGACAGATTTGTTCAAGCTCACAAACCATGAGCAAAGCAAAACTTTCATGGTAGGAAGGACAAAGGAATGATGCAATTGGTAAGTGAGGAGGGAAACTTTTCAATTTGAACTGCAAAAAACAGTGCCTATTTGTTGGGTGGCTGAGTGGGTTGCCAAAGAGCAAGGTTATTTTTGAAGGTACAGACTGATATAAAGGACCATCCATTCTCTTATTCTATAGGATTATGTGCAATATTATTCCAAACATTTCAGAACATACTCCATCTTTAATTGATGGCAAATTATCAGTGCATCAGATATTGTGCAAAAAAATTAAAAGAAATTCAAAATGAATTACTTAATAACAAATGTTAGAATTAAAGCAAAGATTAAAAGAGAAACTTCAAACATGCCAGGTAATAAAAAGACATATGCAAAATTCTTAGGGTCTGTATAGTAGAAGGGTATTCTTTAGAGGTGAAGTGGAACCAATATCAATGTCATCTGCAACACTTCAAAGATACTTGGTGGCGGGAAGAAAGATAGCCATAGTCAGCTTTTCTGCTCTATAAATAACTGTTTAATTTGATCAATCTCTGCTGTCCTATATTTACCCAACATTAATTAAATATCAATATTAGTGTACTATACTAATATTTAGAAAATACACTCAGTACTCCCAGAGATCCATAAACCTCCTTCCCTCGTATTTTCTAGAAGTTCTTTAAAGACAGTTTTATTTTACTGGGCGTTCAACCCTAGTTAGGATTACTGGTGTCCATCTTGGGGGAGATATATTATTTGTTTCATTACTAGTATTACTAAAAGTATTGCTACTTTTAAAAAATAATTCAATTTATTCTTATGGTTGCTTTTTTATATTTTAACATGTAACCTGCCCAGAGTCTGTTGATTTGGGTGGGCTGTAAAATCAATCTCACATTTCACATATTTTCCTGCTAAATAATGTGGCTGTCCTATGGAGAATGGAACATATGTGTGATGAATCTAATTTATTTTATCTTAGTTCTTGATCAGAATTTATCTAGAATGGAAATTAGCTCAGTGAGATTTAACAAATATTCTGAAATTGTAAATAATATTGGTGGTGTGTTATAATAAAATAACAGATTCTGCCAAACATAATTCCTTCTGTTTATGATGATGAATGATATCCCTTTTCATCACTATAGCTGCAGTTGGTCAGGATCTCTATAGGTACCCACATTGAAGCAATGTGAAATAATAAACAAGTCACACAGATAACTTTTGCAGTGCCAAAATATTCCCTGAGCCAGAATTAAGCTGGATTTAATGGTCTTTGCAAAATTTGGAATAATTCTTCCTCCCATGCAGGTTTTTTTTCATAAATAATTGGGAGACAAATAATATGATTTTATTTAATGCATAAAATGTATTATAGAATGTTAGCTCAGTTGTGTGGATTTAAGATTGAAGAAAAGAATCTGGGAAAATAAAAGTCTTGGCAATTTTTTTTCCATATCTGGTTCCCACTATTCCACCTCGAAAGAATTGCCCTATAATTCGCTGTGAAGTGACAAGTATTTCAGTACCCTGGGAAATTTAATGTAGTTTTGGAAAATCAGTGTTGACTATTTCCACAACTTCCTAGGACAGAAACTTGCTCATTGTGCATTCACTCCACAGACTTTTCATTGATTTTTCTACTATACAGTTTTTATTCATGCCAGGCTGATTATGAGGGAAAGAAAATGATGCAACAGTCAGAAAACCCTCAAAGTTGTTCTAAAACATAAAGAAACAAGCATAAACAAAAATAGAACAAAGTAAGCAATCCTTAAAAAAATCTTTAAATAAAAAGGGAGGGAGAAAGAAGGGAAGAGAATAAAAAAAGAAGAGATTAAAAAACCCAGAAAAGACAAATGAATATTAAGAGCAGGCACATTCATGGACAGACGCCAGCTACTTACGGTCACCTCGGTGATTGCTATATCAACAATGCTACCCACAACAATCAAGGCGTCAAATGTATTCCATGCATCACAGAAATAGTGCTGCATGTTTCAGGGAAACCAAAAAAAGAAGAAGAGAAAGAAAGAAAGAAAGTAAGAAAGAAAACAAAGAGGAGAGAGAAGGAAAAAGGGTATAAAAAACCCAAAGAAAAATCAAAATCAAAATAAATAAATAAATAAATAAAGCATGAAAGAGGGAGAGAAGAGAAAAAATAAGGAAAGAAAGAGGTTATGTGGGCATAGTAAAAACTCTCTTACCACTCTACAGTACTGGTTGCTCATACCTCTGTAATATGATGGAGGGTATCAATAAAAAGCCTGGTTAGTTAGAAAGTTACACTCAAACATGTCTGGTTTTGTTTTGTTTCATCTTTTGGGGAGGGAAAAAAGCACACATACCCCAATCTCTGTGCGCTTTCACCAGCCACATTTGTGACCAGTGAAAAGAGAGGAGGTCTTCAACCCTCCTCCTTTTTTCCCCCCTGGAAGAAGGACGACGGCAAGGTCAATAAAAGCATGACTAGAGGGAAGAAAACATAAACCAGAAAAAAAGAGAAGGTAACAAGTAAAGAAGAAGAGAAGGAGGATTTGGTGGCATCCTAGGGAGGGTAGAGTTATACTCACATTAGTTTCACTGAGAATGACGTCTATAATGCTGCCAATTACGATGAGGAAGTCAAAAATATTCCAAGGATCACTAAAGTAACCCTACATAAGGGAGGGGCAGGCAGGATGGGGATTAAAAAGGAATGTTAGACAGACAGAAACAGTTCAGAATTGGCATTAGAATCACTGCCCTGATAACGCCAGGGGCTGTAGAAGAGCAGCTGGGACCAGGTGTTTCCATATAAGCACACAAGTTGGCATTACTCAAACATGTAATCCCAATGAACCCAAAGGGATCAAGTGTTTATGTAAGGACTACCTGTGTGAATGCAAATTGGGGTTAGACTAATTCTGACTAATATGAAGGAGTCCTTTCTTTAGTAATTTGTATTTTCTTTTGCTCTTTTTAAGTGTTATAAGATTGATTTGTGGGCAGTTCATTGGAGAGTAGCATTCGCAGGAAACAAATTGTTCCCATAGCTGTGTTCTATGCAAATCTAAAAGGATGTCCAGAGCCTAAAACAGAGCATTCTTTATTCTGAGGATAGGAACCTCATAATGACCACTGGTGGCATTGTACTCACATTCAATTAAACTATAACTGACATAAATCAGTTGTCTTTGGAATATCCTGAAGACAGAGGAGGATTGAGTAGAAAAGAACCTACATGATTATGAAGAAGGGGATCTTTGCCAACAGTTTACATGGTCTTAAGGCCTACTGAACTCAAGTTTCCCCTCTCATACAGACGATAACAACTGCCATCTTTCAACCAAATACTGTAGAGTGTATTTAACTTATCCATTATTGTAGCATTAGGTCCACTCTAATATTAAAAATAAATTGGTGTAAGGTAGGACTTAAACTAAAGATTGGAATCTTATGAGTCTTGAGGTGGGATTTGCTCCATTTTTAAATTAAAAACTTGGTTAAATTGCTAAGTATTTCAGACACTTTTGCAAGACTTGCAAAAATTCTTTCTTACAAATCCATGTTCTAAAATCATCTTCCCGCTTTTCCCTTATCCTGTTAAATAATGTATTTGTAGGTTTCTGGTTGTTTACCATTTTGTGCTAATCAGATTTCCCTGTTTCTCCAGCTGCGATCAATTTTCAAAGAAACTGAACCCAAGTGGCACAGGAGATGTTGTTCTTAGTACAGGAAACTACAGGTCATGGGTGAAATGTGAGCCTGAATTCCCAGGATTTTTTAAAGAAAAAAAAGGGGGTTGGTGGGAAAAGCAATTAGTTCCACACTGATGAAAGACCAGGCTTAGAAATGTTAGAGGAAAGCAGTTACAATTCACAACTAGGCTAGATTCTGATCAAGATCCTGTCTTTGGATGTGCCATCCAACTAAGCCTCTCTGGATTGAAAAACTTTCTGATTTTCACTTCACAACAGTTGGAGGCACTGTTAGAGAGTCTTGTGGGTAGAAAGTAAAAGAGAGTGTGAAGTTAGAAAGAAGTAAAATGCATTTTTGAAACATACACAAGGGAAATTTCCAGACAACCTTGAAACATAGGCTAATTTGAACCCAACACTCAAAATATGGAGGGCTAATTTTCCATTTGTTATCCCACTAACAGACAGATGAGTGCATTGGGAATGGAAGAAAGCATCAGTTGTGGAGGATATATCATTCAATATTCTGGCCTATAAATTTAGAGTAAAATGTTAAAATTAGTGCCATGATGAGGTCTCCAGCATCTCTAGGAACTAGATCAACCTGGAACAAATGTGTAATTAAACATTTACATCAAGGGCGAGGAAAAAAAATGGAGGTAAAAAGGCACAGAGATTTGAGTATAGGTAGTCCCCAGTTTAAGAACGAGTTCCGTTCCCAAGCTCTGTCCTTAAGTCGAATTTGTATGTAAGCTGGAACAGTATTATTGTATAATACTGTATGAGTAGTATTGTGCAGTGAACTTGAACTGTTGTGTATTTAACTTGAATCATTGTCTATTTAATTCAAATTTTGCTACAATAGGCTCCATTCTTAACTATGGGTTGTCCGTAAACTGGGCGTTCTTAACCTGGGGACTACCTGTAATAACAGTACAAACATTGAATGCATACAAGATATTCATGCCCTCTGAACAGATTAAAGTTTGGAAAACTCAACAGAACCTGTTTCAGTAAAATCAGAGTGGCTAGTCACATTACCAGACACTGAACCATGAACGTGATGTATTCTTTGCAGTCTTTCTAGTGTATTTCAAATTATTCTTAAGGACCAAATTACATGTAATTTAAAACAAATGTCTTGTTTTATTTTAAAAAACAAATATCCATTGTGATGTCAGGAATCCAGATTGAGATTAGGACAGTTAATTCTATTCACATAATTTAGTAAGTAAAAAGCTCCCATTGTGAATAGCAGATTCAATGGACATGTAATTTCAGATGGGACTCCAAAAAAGATGAAAGTTTAACTACCATTTCCCCTGTGTCTTTGTCTCAGTCTGGATTTCCTGCTTCTTCTCTCCCAATTCTAGTAATTAAATGCAGCAGTAATATGTATGACAGATATATCTAGTTTGTCTCTCAGGTTATATATCAACTATAATTTTTTACAGTCAGGGGAAAAAAAATAAAGCACAGCAGAACGGTCATTGTTTCTGGTACACATTCACTTTGTGGCCCACCATGATCTCCTGTCAAAAGAGTTTTGTAATACTTTACAATTTTACATGCTGTGCCCAGTAAAACACAAAATGGTCTGCCATGGCTACAATTGTTATTGCATACATGTTGGTGTGACTGTCATGACAAATGCTAAATTATGTATTACATGCTGTCTCACTTCTGCCCCAAAACAAAACTTGAAATTCATACTGCCACATGTGTACTAATGTAACCAATAAGCCACAATGTTCCTCATAGGAATAAAATTTACTAGAACTGATTGCAATCTGGTCTAATTAACTTATTTATCTACTGTTTTTAAGAAATTAGACAAATAATCTGCTGCTAGGAAAAGTATTTGCATACTTATCAAGCTATTGATGCTGGATCAGGGTAATCATACAGTGATGGCAAGAAAGAAGTCGCTGTTGTTGTACCAAATAAATAACTATTTATACTTAGATAAAGGAAGAAGGATTTCTAAAATAGCTTTAATAGGGTGTTAGAAAGTGAATCTATTCCCACTGAATATTTTAGAATTCATGGCCATCCATATTACGCCTTTTAATCTTCTGAGTCCTTGGGAGTTGGTTAGGGACAGATGTTTTGTTGGCCTCCAATCATTATTGGAGTATTATTACTTTATAAAACAAAGCTTTATAATAAAAAAGTATAATTAAAAATTAACCAAATTTAGAAAAGAGCAGATCTTGTGATTCAAAGGGGATTTGCTAGATTTTCTTCCTTTTACCAACTAAGATTACCAATAGTATTTTGGCTTAGTCATTTATTAAAATAAATGCATGAAGTTTTAAATGAATCCACTACAGTAAAATTCTGTTAAAATACAGGCTTAAAACTCAGGGCAGAAGATGGTTTACATAGCAGAATTTAAGCTATTTTCTCAAACCAGCATCTCCTATGGAAGAGAGTTCACAGAGCTGCAGTATTCTACGCTTATATAGGAATAACCAAATAATAGTTCAGTGTTGTGAAGTTTCCTCTCTTTTAGCTTCAGCTTTTTTACTACAGCACCACTGTGTAGTCTGAGAGAAATCATTAAACATGAATAAACTGAAATAATTAAAAATATTCTAATTTACTTTTGATTGAAAATAGGAATATTTAGGAATAGGGGCAGGCAAACTTTTAATGACAGGGGTTGTATAATGTTTTTGGCTGGCTGGGTTAAGGGGAGTCAGGATTTTCAAATGGGTTTTTTGTGGGGGTTGGGGAGGTTCTTTTGTTTTACTAATTTAGGGCTTATAGTACACTTTATTTTGTTTTAATATTTCTCACTTCAAAGTGGCTAGAAACTATGTTAATTTTAGCAACTATGTTGAACAGTAGCTTTGAAGACTCCCCAAAGAGAGGGAACCCTGGGGCCTCAGGCTGCCAAACCCTAGTTTAACCAGTCCTGAACTCAGCTCTCCACCTAAAATTTCCAAAAAGTCTGGATTATTTTTTAAAAATTCTCTAAGCTAGATTTTGTAACACTGCTATTCCATTTCTTTCTTTACTATCTTACCTGTAGAAAAAAAATCTTCTTTAAATTAAATTTAAATCTAAATTAAATTAAATTAAATTTAAATCTAGTTTGTTTTGTAGGTGACCAATTGCTATCAACAGTCACCAAGACACACTGAACAGCAAATGTGTGGAAACTTTCCTAGGCCATGTGGTTTGTTGTTGCATGTAAGCTTTAGAGAGGGAAAGCTTATTGAAGGAAGGATTCTTCAGTCTAGGAAGAAGGAGGCATTTTCCCATCAGAAAATTTGTTGTGAGTTCTTCTTCTCCCAAGAGAAATGCTAGGGAGGGTTTAGACCAAAAACAAATTGATGGCATTGTT